GGGGGGGATGGACACATGCTCCCAGATCTGCATGGGGCGGGCTGCCACTGCAGGCAGAAGGCTGGCCTGGGTTGTGCTCTGGGCAGGTGGTGCATGGAGGAGATTATGGGGGTAGCTGCACCCACCCCAAAATTCCCCATAGCTCCCACTCCCAAGCACAGCCTGGCCCAGCCCTAGCCTGCCCTGCCCTGCCCTGCCCCACGTAGATTTGGGGTCACATGCCCTCCCGGACAAGCTGCTGGATGAGTGGCGGGAGCTGCCCTCCCTCCCTCCCTCCCTGTGCCCCCAGACAAGCCAGGGCTTTATCCCGCGCCCGCCTCTGTGCCCTGGCAGCACCTGCCCCAGCCTCACTCCCTCCCTCACTGTGGGGGTGTTGATCTGCCCCCCAACGCCCCTCCCCTTCCACCACACCAGACTTACCAGCTGCATGTAGCTCTCCATACTGCCGGCTATGCTTCTTACTGCTTATGTGCTGTTCTGCGGCTGTGTTCATTCATGGGCCATTTATCAATCAAATTATCGGCCACGTCACGCTGATTTCCAGTATAGACAATTTTCTTTATATTGGTGCTGATCCAGTATCAGACCAATGTATTGATGCACCTCTATCCAACATAAGTTTGTTTAATAGCCAGTCAAATTGACCATAAGAAACCACTTGTAAGCCTTTCCAAGGGAGCAAAAAATTGTCTAATGTTTCCTGAGCTTAAGTGGGTCTAGGCCAGGGGCGGGCAATTATTTTGGGTGGAGGGCCGCTTACCCAGTTTTGGCAGGCTGTCAAGGGCCGCATGGGTAGCCCTGCCCTGTGACAGGTGCCCCAACCCTTGACAGGTGCCCCGCCCCCTCGTCAGCATTTTGGGACCAACGTCCCAATGTCTTGAGACCAGTATCCCAGGGCCAGCACTGGTGGGGCCCAGAGTGGGTTACAGGCTGGCAAGGGTCTGTGGAGCTGGGCTGGGCTGCACCAGCAGGGAGGGAGGAGCTGGCCCGGCTCCATAGAGCCCCTGCCAGCTGGAACCCCGTGCTCCTGCTACCCTGCTCTGGGCCCTGCTGGCGCTGGCCCCGGAACACTGGTACAGGCCCCATGATCCCGCTGGCAACCCACCCGCTGACACTCAGTGTCCCCCAGTCCCGCAGTACATGTGGGGGGCAGCGCTCAGCCCCGACCCCCTGCTCACCAGCAGGGTAGAAGTTGATGCTGAGCGTGGGGAAAAGTGGATCCTCGCCTGCCTTATGGCCGGTGCTCCCTGCTGCAGCTGCTTGCAGCCCACGCAGGGCTGTCTGGAGCAGGCACAGGCAGCCCCAGGCAGGCTGCAGGTGGCTGCAGTGTGGGGCACTGGCCATGGGGCGGGCGAAGGACCACTTTTCCGTGCGCTCAGCACCACCTTGTAACCTGCCCCACTGCCATCCTTGCAATGGGGCCAGGTTACAAGGTGGTGCTGAGCGCAGTGGGGTGGGGAAAGCAGCCCCTCCCTGCCCCATGCCCAGTGCCCCATGCTGCAGCTGCTGGCAGCCTGCCTGGGACTGCCTGTGTCTGCTCCAGACAGCCCCGTGCGGGCTGTGAGCGGCTGCAGCGTGGAGTGCCGGCCATGGGGCAGGCAAGGGGCCACTTTTGTCTGTGCAGGGAAGGGGCCTGGGGGGAAGCAGCCCCTCCCCCGCCCCACGGCCCGTGCTCCATTCTGCAGGCGCTTGCAGCCCACATGGGACTGTCTGGAGCGGGCACAGGCAGCCCTACACTGGCTGTAAGCAGCTGAAGTGTGGGGCACCAGGTGTGGGGTGGGGAGGGGCTGCTTGCCTGGGGTCCCCCCCACTCCCACTTACCTGAGTTTCCTGCGCTGGGGCAGCCACGTGCTCCCAGCCCAGAAACCGTGGCTGGGGCATGGGACTGGGCAGGCCCATTGTTGGAGCCCGCTGGGCTTCACTTGGGTCCTACTGCCCTTGGTTCCTGTCATTTTTGACAGGATCCAAGGGCAGAGAAATATTAATTTTCTACAGTTTTTTAGGGGCCCCGCAGGCCAGATAGAATGGCCTGATGGGCTGGATCTGGCCCACAGGCTGTATTTTGCCCATCCTTTGTCTAGGCCCTCACCCAGCTGTCTGGTGAAATAGGCTGACTGGAGAATTTGCAAGAAGTCCAGACAGGAAGGTTAAAGGCAGCAGCTTTCTTATAACCTGTGAGCAGAGGTTTTTTAAACATACTGTGCCTGATGTACATGATGGCATGCTTCAGTAGCCTCCTTTGGGGGTACTTTTAAAGCAAGTATTACTTTCTAGAGTTGATACAGTTAATTTTTGCCACTTACGTTTTGAATTTTCCAACTGACTAGATATCCATGATTGATCCTTTTTTAAAGGTGAAATTAAAAATAAAGCATCTGACAAGCAATTCTTTTACTCTTCCCCTTTGATTTCTAACACAATGAGGAGGAAGTGAAAGCACAATGTGAGAATGGACTTAGTTATATATGTGTTTGTGTTCTTTTCCATTTACAGTCTCTAATATTTGATGAAGTCGATCTGTCAGATGCCAGTGTAGCTGAATCGAGCACAAAAAATGTCAACAACAGCTTCACGGTATGGTGTGATTATTCTAGCCTTGAAAGCCATAGAAAAGCTGTTACTAAGATGATCAAGAATGCTCCGAATAGGTTTTTCTCATTTTCCTTTATTTGGAATAGCTTGTAGTATCATGACAATATCATATCAACTGTTAGTGATTTTTTTTTTTTGCTCCCAGTTATATGTTAAAATAATTGAATTTCAGATGTCCATATTTTCATTTATGTTTGTTTTATGCAGTGACTTGTCTCTTTAAATATCATGTTCTTTATGTTTTCCTTCCTCAGTGATTTACTATTGAGGATGGTTTCAATTCTCTGTTTTAAAGGGAGAGAGTCATAAACCCAGGTTCTTCACTATGATAAAATTATTGATCTTTTTTTTTTTTAATTTCTGATCTCATCCTTTGTTGCAAATTACTTCTAACCCCTGTCAACAGCTGTCTTCATATTTATACCTTGTTTTTTATTGTAGCACTTGAGCACGGGTGTTACAAGTTTATAAACCTGTGTGTGTGTGTGTGTGTGTGTGTGTGTGTGTGTGTGTGTGTGTGTGTACACACACATGCACTCCAAGTTCTAGAATTCTATTGCCTTTTCATACTTCTGAGGAAAGGAAAAGTATATTGCAAGTGTGTGTGCATTTAACGCTGTGCAGTGATGCAAGTGATGAAGATTAGACTAACATTTCTTTTGAAAGTGTTAAGGTTTTGTGATCATTCTCAACTCTTGTGGAAAGAAATTTTGACTAGCTGTCAAGAAGACTCTAGGTGAAATCTTGCTCCATGAAATCAATGGATGTTTTGTCATTAACTCCGATGGTGCCAGGATTTTACTTCCTATCTTCAGCTACCACTGCTCTCAGTCTCAGGAAAAATGAAATTTTTCATTCATAGCTTGTTTAAGAGCTGTGGAAAGAGGAATTGCAACTTTTGTTCACAGCTGTGGATGATGTGTTTATTTTAATGCCTAACCAGATCTTCTGTACTCGGCAGTGCTTTTTCTAAGGAGCATTTTAAACATATATCTGGATACTTAGTTCTGGAGTGTACCATCACAGTGGTTGATCTTACCATGTGGTTGCCAACTCTCCTCATTGTGGTAGTCCTTTGGTTTCTTCTCAAGTATATATACCTGACATAATGTGGGAAACAACAAAACTCACTGAAATAAGGCACCTTTGTACTTGCTTCTTGTCCAATAGTAAGAAGAGGTTGAGTTTCAAAAACCCTTTACCCTGCAAAACTTCTCTTTAGGATCTAAAGATTTGCCTTTTACTGTATGTCTTTAGTTTTTCTTTTCTTGGCAGACTGGGTTCTTTGAGTAAATCCAGTATCATTTATTAAATCGACGCTTGGTATTTTCTCACTAAAAATCATGAAAGAGAACTAGGTGAATCTTTGGTGTTCAGTGGCTAACACTCTTGTTGATTTTTGTTGTTGTTGTTTTTTTGGTCCCCCTGTCTTGTTGCAGAATGTTTGTGGTGAATATTGGCCTGTCTTAATTGACCCTAGGCCAGGAAAAATGTACCTTCATGAGTGTTTAGTGGTTTCACTGAAATCGTTATATAGCTTTGTTTAAAAAAACAACCCCCTCCAAACTCCCCCCATCACATTAATAGTTGTGTTCCTTGTCATTTCATCAAAAATCATCTTGCTGTAGAAACATCTGTATTCCTTCTCCTTCACCCCCTACTAGTTTTACATCTGTTTTTCTCTTTGGAGATAGAGATGTTCACGCAGAGATTTTCACTGCACTGTTAGCAGTGTCCTTGGAAAGGACTCAAAGCCTAAAATTAGTCGCAACATAGAGCACTGAAGTTGGATTTATCTGTAATATGCATGTATTGCATATTTGTAAAACATATTTGTGACTAAATATTATGCCTACTCACTACAAATACTTGCCTTTTATGATTATAAAAAATTCGAGGGAGAGAGATGATTTGAAGGAAAAACTCAGTTAAAATTAATTAATTAATGGGAAATAAATGAGCCAAGCAATTAAGCATGTATCAGCTCATCTATTTTAGTCTGTTCTTTATTGCTGTTACCACCCATGAATATCTCAAACCAGGGACAAAACTCTTTTCTGACAAATAGTGCTTAGTGAATTAGAGGGCTGTGCAGACATCTGTTTTTCCCAGCCTCTTAGGTCGTGATCCCAAAATCCGTTGAAACGATTCACATTGGCTTCAGCAGGTTTTGGATCAGACTCAAAGTACCTGTGGTGCTTCCTAAGTAATATGCTGAGCATTTTCCTTCCCTCCCTTCTGGCCCCCCTGCCTGTTTTCAGCATGATGCAGAGCTTCTGTTTGAGTGAGACATTTAGGCTAGGGACATACATTATACACAAACTGGTTTAAGTGATCAGAAACTGGTTTAAACTTGTAACAAAACAGATGTTCAGTGCACATAAACCAGTTTAAAAATGGCTGGAACCGGTTTGAGATAAACCTGGTTGAATGTAATATTAGATTAACTGATTTGGGTCAAACCACTTTATGCAATGTCTGTCCCAGACCCCTTTCTGGTTTAAGATAAACCAGACACCCCCAGGCCCCTTCCTGGTTTATATTAAATCAGACACCCACAGCATCCAAGCATGATCTCTGGGCTGGGTGGGACTCTCTGCTCCACAGCAGAACTGGCTGCTCACCTCTGCTCCCTGGCCAGAGCTCCAGCACAGACTGCAGGCATCTGCCTGCTCCCCCCCACCCCTCCCTGTCCCCTCTGCCTTAAAGACACCTTCATATTAGCTAGTAGACCACATGGTGGCTATGGTCCCTGCTGTGATAGGACAAAGGGAGAATCAACAAGTAGCTGGTAATGTCCCTTTGTTTTCTTAATGAGGTGATAAATACTGTTATCAATTTCCTGCTGGGGGGGAAAGAGACCCCTCCCTAATAAAAGCATCCTGCCAGGGCCTGGCCATGCCCCCCTCAGCTTAGCACTATACAAGGGAAGGAAGGGCTGCTGTAGTGCCCCCCACCTTCTAGCCTGAGCCGCTGCAGGCATGTGCCTGCATTTCCTCAGTCCAGACAGCATGCATGTCTGTTCAGTTGGAAACTGGTTCAACCTAGGCAGATTAGACTAACCTGCAAAGACTGAATCAGTTCAGGCTCAGACTTTTTGAATGTCTATCCCTAGGCTTAGAAATGCGAGTGTCCTGCCTCCACCAATTTAGTAGCAATATCAGATTCCTGTTTTTGAATGGTACTCATTATAGAGAATTTATGGGGTCTCTTGAATTGGAAACTAAATAGGTCAATGCATAGTTATTTGGAAAAATAAAGTGCACTCATTTTTTAATACTTTTTATTATTTTAGAATACATCAAACAGCACTGCTTTTTATAGCCATTGTTAGGGTCTGTGCTACAGCGCGGTTCACAATATGTTCCTTTAGTACTGCTCTATAACAGTTATCCTGTGTACCATATGTATACTAAAAAGACAAAAAGGTCAGAGTAGTGATGCCCTTAACTGGTGGCTCAGTGGTGATTAGTGCTGGTGGTGCAGTTATTTTTAATGCATTGACAGTTCAGCCTTTGTCTTCTTTGTATCTATCTTTTTCTTATTTTTAAACATATATATATATATATATATATATATATATATA